CAAATAAAAAGCGCCCCTTGCAGGAACACGTATGTGTTATGTATTTATCTAACTATTTTTGTATGCTATGTACTTGCATATAGTAAGCCTATTTTTCTGACTAAAATATACAGAAAAAGATGAAATTCCTCTGCAGAATTACAAATATTTAAAAAAATAATAATAATAAAAAGAAAATAAATTCACGCAAATGTTTTGAAAGTCAATGAGCCATAACTGAAAGATATGAAAGGTAGATGTCTACCAGGCACATAATAAGCCTCTTTATGCACATTTATCACACTGCTATCTGATAATGGTGTACCCAGTATGGAGTTGGACCCGCTGTTCCACTCTCACTCTGGCTGAGGTCCAGCTCTGTGATAAGAAAACCATTATGCACTTCCCTTTACTGTGCCTGTTAAGTCATTGCATGTTGCAGACAGGAAGTTGTGAAGTAGCCATGGAATTAAATGACCTCTGTAATACTTGAATCAGCACATACGGCCATAACTATTCCATGAAATCTTCAGGAGTAGTCAGCAAACTACCTTTCAAAATTTTGGGGGTCAGTATTTTATTTTTGGGAGAAATTAATACTTTTAATTAGCGAGGACACATGGATCAGAAGTGACAGTAATACATATAATGTTACAAAATATTCTATTTCAAACAAATGCTATTTTTCTGAACTGTGCATTAATTGACGAATCCTAAAAAATGAATCTTGGTTTACAAAAAAAAAGCATTTAACAGCAGAACTGTTTTCAACACTCTGATTTCTGAAAGATCAGGTGACATTGAAGACTGGAATAATGATGCTGAAAATTCAGCTTTGCAACACAGGAATACATTTCATTTTGAAATATATGAAATAAAAAACAGTTATTTAAATGTATAATAATATTTCACAATATTACTGTTTTTACTGTTTTTTTTAATCAAATAAATTCAGCCTTGATGAGCATAAGAGACTTCTCAAAAATATTACCAACCCCAAACATTTAAATGAATAAGATAATGGAATAATGATGCTGAAAATTCAGCTTTGCAACACAGGAATACATTTCATTTTGAAATATATGAAATAAAAAACAGTTATTTAAATGTATAATAATATTTCACAATATTACTGTTTTTACTGTTTTTTTTTATCAAATAAATTCAGCCTTGATGAGCATAAGAGACTTCTCAAAAATATTACCAACCCCAAACATTTAAATTAATAAGATAATTTCACAGTAATGGAATCAGATTTAATTATCAAAATAGAACATGCACTTTGACCTTAATAAAATAATAACAATCGAAACTGATTACATTTATTGTTTATTAAAACAATTCGTCAAGATGTAGTTGAAAGGTCAACATGATGTAAATTCTCAGGAGGGATTTCAAGTAAATAATGTTGCATAATCCAGCTGCTGATGTAGGTCAACATTAAACACTTCCATTGCATATGACATATTGAAAACATTTCCAAGTTCTCTCAGGTTGTTGCGGGGACATTTGCTTATAGAAAGGCATATGGTATATGAGATGTTTGAACCTGATCATAAGAGCATGGTAACTAAAACAAACGGCCCTGTCAAAAAGCCCCGTCCACGCAGGGGACATATAATAATACAATAAGAGCCTTTCCAGGAGCCTGTTGTTGCCCGCTGGGGACACGTTGCCATTGGAGGCAATTGATGCTTTTTTGGAAAATCAAAAGAACAGGATATGCATGTCTAGATTCCAGACAATAAATACATTACAATGCTACAAAATATTCTGTTTCAAATAATTGCTGTTTTTCTTAATTTTCCTTTAATCAAAGAGTCTTTAAAAAAATGAATCATGGTTTCCACTAAAAAATTTAAAGCAGCAGAATTTTTTCAAAATTCACAACAATAATAAATGTTTAAATCAAAATAGAACACTAGCTTTCGTCATAATAAAATAATAATGAATAAAACTGATTACATTTATTGTTGTTTTGTATTTTGTTAAAACAATATGTCAGGATGTAGTGAAATTCATTATATTTCCTGAAAGGTCAACATGATTCTCAGGAGGGATTTCAAGTAAATAATGTTGGTCATAGTCCAGCTGCTGATGTAGGTCAACATTAAACAAAATCTCCATTGCATATGACATATGGAAAACATTTCCAAGTTCTCTCAGGTTGTTGTGGGGACATTTGATTATAGAAAGGCATATGGCATATGAGATGTTTGAACCTGATCATAAGACTCATAGCATGGTAACTAAAACAAAAGGCCCCGTGACCAAGCCCTGTCCAGGGGACATATAACTCCCTCAGACTGTATTTGACAATAAGAGCCTTTCCAGGAGCCTGTTGTTGCCCGCTGGGGACACGTTGCCATTGGAAGCGATTGATGTTTTTTTTCTCTTTTTTTTATCAAAAGAACAGGATATGCATGTCTAGATTCCATTGTTATTATGAAACAAGTGAGATCAACAACATCACCTGCAGTTCCGTTCGTCTCTCCCACACAGTGCAGTTAACACGCACTGCTCTCTGACATTTAAAGGGGTATGTGAGAATGTTGGTTCAGTCCTACACATAAAGCAGCCAATCAATACAACAAGCTCATTGACAGGCCTTCAAGGGCAGGGTGGGACTGCCCTCCCACTCTAGTCTGAGTAATCGCTTTGCACTTTTAAATGAGACATAGTGGTGCTTGCAAATGGAATTAGGGATTGCTCACACTAAAAAAAAAAAAAAAAAC